AGGGATAAGATTATATTTTCTTTCTTTTCCCCATGACTTTATGAAAAATAAATTTATATTTAAAACTTCCTTAACTACTTGTTCTTTATAAAACCAAGAACTAATTTTATATGTTAGATTAATCATTGGGAAATAGGTGACTCAAATACTAGTTATCATGTTATGTTCATATTACATGCTCTTTTAGGACATGGCTTATGTGGGTTTTATGTTCATTTCCTCTAAATGGCCAATGCAGTGCTTGCACGGTGAGTTCTGCTATGAATTTATATCAGAATTCCCAGTTGAATAGAAATATTTCTAAAGCCCCAAAATCAAATATCATACTAACTTCTAGTAGCTGTTCATTTTAATTTGAGATTTTATGTGTACTTTAGGAAATCGTCCTTACGTTTTCTTATCTGCTCGGGTACATCCTGGAGAAACTAATGCAAGTTGGGTAATGAAAGGAACATTGGAATATCTCATGAGTAATAACCCTACTGCTCAGAGCTTACGAGAATGCTATATTTTTAAAATTGTCCCCATGCTAAATCCAGATGGTGTCATCAATGGAAAGTAAGTTAAGCAACACTTATAGAAATATTATAGATTATTATGGTGGTCCTGTGTAAACTTGTTGAAATAATATCACCCATGTTAATTTGGAAAACAAATCCAGTAATTTTTCCAGAACAAATAAATTTTGTGGGGAATTCATCTAAGAGATATTTTTAAATGAAAATATATTTTGTATATTAGTAATAGTATGATAGTTTGACGAATTCTGTATTTATTCATGAGAATACGTTTACATAAAATGTATGCCTGGTTTGAATTGTTTTAGAAAAATCACAGTGTGAGGATACTAGAAAGATTTTTTAACACGTCCTCTTCCATTCCTTTTTTTAAAAATTTGTTAATAGCGTGATCTTAGTTTGTTGTAAAATTTAGAATCTTCTGAGATCTCTTTCTGAGATGGAGTATTGACTCTATCTGCCAACTTCTTTCTGATATGAGGAAGTGTGGTTTCTGACAGAAGGAACTCTTTAGACAGGAGATACTAGAAGATACCTACTTGGTAAGTGGAGGCAGCTTGTTGTCAGTGCAGTTCATTTGTTGTGGCAGTTAGACGAGGGCTCTTTAGTGCTTCTGAAAGATGGGATTTGACATGAGCATCTCCAAAGTTGAGGGTACCGTATTTTATTTATTCAATAAAGAGAGCATGAATCTTTCTCATATTTTAGGATATTCTTGAATTGAGAATAATTTATTTTTAGGTGTGTTATGGTTATGGAACTAAAATGAGATTTTATGTCTAGTTTTAAATCAGAAACATATTGACCAGTTAGAATCCCGTTTATATTTCTGTTATCACCTTCTGATTATTTGCTTAAATTTTTGCTCAGTGGCTTTAATACTTAATGCCCATGATTAAATGAAAATTTATTTGAATTTTTATAAGAATGTATACTTTTCATATACTTATCTTTCTGAGAAGGGCCCAAATAGCACTTTTAATAATAATTAATACAATCAAAATACAGAATGTTAGTATAACAAATGATTATTATATAGTCAGAATGGAAAATATGACAATTAATACATTTCTTGGCATATGGAACAAAACCCCAGAATTGAGAATTATAATTTTTTTCTATAGCTTGAAAGTTTTGACCTATAAATCTAAAAGCTTACTACAGTTAAATGCATGTAACACAAGATCTTGGACATAGCAAATGCTTAATGATTATTTGATGGCTAAAATATGCATTCTGTTGAGCCTACCATTTATACCTATTTGAACTATTTAGTGAAATAGATTCAATATATATAAGAATTTATTGGTACCAGTGTTTGTCTATCATTGTGTTTACATATGTGTAGTCACCGCTGTTCTCTAAGTGGAGAGGATCTGAATAGACAGTGGCAAAGTCCAAATCCAGATTTGCATCCTACAATTTACCATGCTAAGGGGCTGCTACAGTACCTGGCTGCAGTGAAACGTTTACCACTGGTAAGTGGCAATATCTGTACTTTGTACAGTCAAAGACATGATTTTGTTGATTAGTGACTTAGTATCTTACACATTATTTTCTGGTTATAAAAGCTAAGTGTTAATTTCAGAAGCAGTTTCTTTAAAATATCTTTTTCTGTTATCAATCACATGTATTAATTATGGTGTCAAATTAATACAATGTATTTATATTCTTATTTCATCAAGTTTAATTTTAATTCTCATGAACCCTTTTCTTTTTTGTTTATGAATATTGGTAACTCCTCATTTTGTAAGTTTTAGGTATTTAACAACACTGTTTGAGCAACACTTAGATAACAGTATTTTCCAAATTTTCAAATTAGCACAAGCTTAGTTCTGAGCTCTTTAGTCAACTCTGACGCTGGTAAGTCTCAAGTACACATATGGGCAAGGTAGTATAGGCACGGTGGGAGACTCCACTGAACTGTATGTGTACGCTTCTTTTGTTTTCAGCAGCTTTGTTTTAGAATGAGTTAATCTTCCTTTGGGAAAGATAGAAACACGTTGCAGAGGGACAAATTGACATGCAAGTCTGTCCTTCATTTTTCATTTTTAAAATGATGTTCTTAAAAATTAAATTGAAACTACACCCTTTTTTACAGTGTTTTTCATGAGAACATTTTCATGTTCTTTTAAATTGGATAAATATCTTAACAACCGTTGGGGCAGTGATTACTACATGTATAGATTTGACCTATAATTATTATTTTTTTAAATGGTGAGTAGTAGGTATAAAAGAAAGAGTGGAACTCGTGGCTTAATGCAGGACTTGCAAAAGACTTCCTAGCCATTCTAGAATTAATCATAAATTTCCAAAACTAGATATTACTACTTTTGTTGATTCTACTTGTTAAATGGTGGCTCAGTTACAATAAAAGGATCAAGGAACACAGACCTATTTATTGGCTTTATATTAACTAGATTTACTTGGCAATTTGAAGGTTTTTAATATATTATAAATATATTATCTTTTCAAGGTTTATTGTGATTATCATGGCCACTCCCGAAAGAAGAATGTGTTTATGTATGGCTGCAGCATCAAAGAGACAGTGTGGCATACCAATGATAATGCAACTTCCTGTGATGTTGTGGAAGATGCGGGGTACAGGGTAATTATTACAGACAATTCAGGGGTTTTTGAATTTCAAACATGAGTAAAACTACAGAAAATAATTTAACATTAACTACTCAGATTTAGTAAATGTTGCCATTTTGCCATTTTTGTTTCAGATTTTTCATTTTAAATGTTTCTTTTAAAATTTTTTGCTTTTCACATTTAAATTTGTGAACAATTTGGAATTTATTTTGTATGAGATATGGGGATCTAATTTTAGTTTTCCCATGTATAACCATTTGTTAAACAGCATACCCATCCTCTGCAGATTTTCTAAAGCCATCTGTTACCATGTTTCCACATGTATTGGTGTGTTTTGAGGTATGCCTAGGATTGAAATGAGATCTTACTGCTTCAAGTCCTTTGTGCATTCTATTATGTCCTAGAGCCTCTCTTACTATATTTATGCCTAAACAAACACCCCAGACTTTTCCAGAAAAAGTTTCAGTAACTTATCGCTGACCTTAGCAGAACTTCAAAGCACATTTTCTTTTTGGTGTCCTCTGTTCTTCCTCTTCTCCAAATAAAGAAAATGATTAGTGTTATATAAAACATGGAAACACTTGAGAAATACAAAGTAATAAGTGAAAGTCATCCTCTTTCAGTTAATCACTAATTAATCAGTTTTGCCATGTATTTTGTGAGACTTGCCTCTAAGCATTCANTATGAATATGTGTGTGTATGTATAAATTATTAAGTGATTAAAGCTGGTTATAAAAAGTCATATGTAATTTCAGTTTTGTTTCTATACATTGGCATTTGTTAGTAGTAATCTTAGTGATGAAATTATTTGTGTTTTAAATTTTTTCTTTGTACTTTCTGTGTCTTCCAGACATTTCACAATGAACCTATCTTGAAATCAGGGAAAGTTGTTAAAAAAAATTTGTCCTACATAATTTTTATTCTGCATGTTTTAGATTGTTGTTGAAGTTCTACAGTCACTTATAATTTCAATATTGAGAAGGTTTTGAAAACCAAAAGCTTTTTCATAACCCATTTGGCAGTAAAGCCTGGCCTAAATTGATGTGAACTTATTTAGAATATTGATTCTACTTAGAGTGACTCTTTATATGTTTTGCTGCAGAAATAATAATGTGTTTATACAGGTTACTGCTGCTGACCCAGCTGGTGATGTTGCACATTTAATGGTATACACCCTGTATCTATCCCCTTTCTCGAGTTCCCCAAATAATGATGTTTGAACTGCATCTGGTCTCCTGAGGGCCCCAGAGAAGGGATTAGGAATCCGATCCACTTTTAGTTATGTGGAGTTCTAGATGCATTTATTTCTATAGTTTTTAAATGATTGTATACTTTGCTTTTAAATTTTTATCAAGATGCATCTTCAAAAATTGGAATCAGCACACAATCCTCAGCAAATCTATTTTCGAAAAGATGTGTTATGTGAAACCCTGTCTGGAAACAGCTGCCCCTTGGTGACTATAACAGCAATGCCAGAGTCTAATTATTATGAACATATCTGTCAATTCAGTAAGTCTGTCTTCTTCACTCAAAATACCAGTCATTCTTACTTATTTTTCTTTGCTTCATATATATTTTCTAAGGGCAGTGATACTAGGAATAGGCATCAGAAGTCTCGATCCTGTTACTACCTAGCCCTGGGCCTGCTTCTGGGCCTCAGTTTCCTCATCTCCAAAGTAAGGAAGCTGCATGAGACGATCGTTAAGGTCTCTCTTGACACTAATAGTCTGTAGTTCTTATCCTTGGAAGTCGTACCCACTGTATAACATAACAAATTATTTTAAGACTTCATGTAATAATACCATCAGAAAATAAATTTAAAAATTTATTAAAAAATATATTTAAAAACTTACAGCTAATTTTATTTTTAAATACAAACACCAGAAACCCATCAAGTGTTTTGACACTGGCACCGAGTAGCTAAGCTGCTTGTTTTGTCCTGCNACTGCAAAGGCATCCATCAGCCTTTCATCTAATGGTTGTAGCACTATTGATGATCACTGCCTACCAGTAATGTGTATGGCTATCAAAGAATGGGGTTCTAAGAATGTCACTGATATATAGAATATTTTAGCTCCATTTAATTAGTAAATCCAGAAGTGAAAAGTAATGATGTTGGCTCATAGCGGTTAACTGCTTTATTAGTACCAAGTCTATTTTCATAGATTAAGTTACATTTTTTACAAACCATAGTTTTCCTTTTTATCCACCCTGAAGTTCTGTTTAATAAAATAACAAGGAAAATCAGAATTTTAATGTGGATGAAATAAACATGTTTTATGCTTTTCTGTTGCAGAAATCACTTCTCAAGAAGTTCAGTTGCTGCAGGTGGGCAAAAGGGAAAATCCTACTATACAATTACATTCACCATCAATTTTCCACATAAAGATGATGTTTGCTACTTTGCTTATCACTATCCATATACGTATTCAACTTTGCAGGTGAGAACTCATTAAGTTGTATTATGACCATTATTGTGTTATGTGCATATGTGTCAGATAATTGAAGAAAAATTGCTTTAATTAAATATGTTATTAAAACAAGATCCAGTGTGGAAGATTTTAGATAAAACAATATTTGTTGGAAACATTAAAGGATATAAAATGAGAATGTAGCCTTTATTTAGTAGAAAGAAATACTAAGGAAATTTGACATGATTTTTACTTTCTATTTTTGGGTAGAAATCTATAGTTCTCTAAGATTCCATGATTTACAGATTTTAACTAGGTGAGATATGTACTTATTTAGTGAGAAGCATTGAATCTTATAGAAAATGTAATAGTAGAAAATGTGGATGCAATTTAAGTTTTTCTGTAGGGAATTAATTTCTTCTAATGGTTTTAT